ACGGAACATGTATTTGGCCGTGTGTAACGTAACTGAATACAGTCGTTTCTTAGCTCGGGGTAAGCTTGGCATAGTTTTGGCGATGAACCATGTAAATATACGTACGTATGTATATATATGTATGTATGTATGTATGTATGTATGTATGTGTGTCTGTATATGTAAATGTATACGTAGATGTCTGTGTATGTGTATGTGTAGGTGGATGTGCATGTGCATATGATATGTATATGTATATGTAGATGCATATCTATCTATATATATATATATGTACATGTATATTGAAAACGAATGTATATGTATGTATACCTATGTATATGTGAGTATATGTATGCACATGTATGTATATGTTTGTATCTGTTTGTATCTGTATGTATATGTATAAGTAACTGTACATATATATATATGCACACACACACACACACACCCAATGGACATAGCTGCCATAGCCTGTGCTCTGTATCTCTCTCTCTTTCTTTCGCCAGGGCTCTCTCTCTCTCTCTCTCTCTCTCCCTCTATCCATGTACACTACTCTGAGATTCTTTTCTGCACCATTATATCTCCGCCCTTTCCGGAGGGAGTCCCGGCCCGACCATGCAGCATTGGCAGCCCAGCCTGCTGGGCTGTCTCGACCAACCAGCAGCATGTGTTCAGCAAGTTGTTCCTTGGGCGAAACTCCCACAAATGCAGCTCTCTCTGTTGGTGTTTATTAGCACGGATTGTCGGATTGCCTGCCACGGCTGACATGTTTGTGCAATGCATCTGCTGTGCTACTGCAGAATGCCACTGCTGGATGACACACCCGATTTTCTATGTTCTGCTGAAGCATGTCTTGGAATGTCTCAAGTCAACAGGTGCTTCATTTTACCAAGGCTACCAGTCAGCACATGCTGACCACGGCTATCATGAACTCAGTCCACATACCCTGTGGGTACAGTACATGATTGTAGCATGCACAGGGACGCGCGTGGAAGTAGAAGTATGCATGTAGTTTGTACAGGTCCTAGATATGCACACAGGCAGAAAGAACTGCGAGGCATGCTCAGGAAAAACTGACAACGGCGCCGGGACAAGAAGCCAAAGGGTTCAAACGGCACACAGACCCAAGTGATGCTGCTCCCGCAGGCACCGTCACAGCAGGCTTTGCAGCACCCAGGACTGTGGGAATGAAAAGAATTTAACGCTGTGCTCGACTACACTGACTACACCCCTCACCTGCAGCTGCTGTCCAAGGTTCTTGAAGGGGATCGAGCTGAACCAGTTCCATTCGGACATTTCCTCCTGAAGCTTGGCAAGGCTTGAGGCCCTTCGTCTGCCCTCTGCAATCTGAAGTCTGCAGGGTCTACCAATGGCCACGCTTTCATGCAGAGAACGGTTGAGCCTCGCTCAGGGCTGCGATGCGCTTGTCGCGCTCCTCTCAGCCAAGGAGGTCACAGCGCAGTCGGAGCACCACAGGCAAGGAAGGGACCCGTCACAAGTCTTGATGCCGGTACTTCTGTTCTTACTGTACAGCGGCAGTATCACACTCTCGACACGAACAGCAGATAAGCCGTGATGGTGTCGGTACCCCCTTGGCGCAGCTGCGCGACCAGTCCTTCTCGAAGTCTATGACTTCCTTGACACCCTCTTCGCCCATGATCTCTTTGGCCAGGTTAGCAATGTAGACCATGCAGAACAAGTGAATCAAAAGCTGCCCCATCATGCCTGTGCGCGAGAAGGTTAGGGACTCTCTTGTAAGAAACCTTGTAACAGCAGGTGATGCCGGCAAGTCGCTCAGCAGATTGGCAGGATGGAACACTGAGGACAATGGCCGAACTCGATGCATCCGGTCCACCGGCTTCGCAAAGGAGAAAGCCAAGGAAGCGACTCCAATCATGGTCCCGCTTGCCATCATCTGCGGCTCGGACGGACGGGTACCGTCTACCGACATGGTGGACATGGTATAAGCAGCAATCATCGATTCCAGCATCATGATTTGCATTTGCTGTACCGCAGACAGTAAGGTGCAGCGGCCCTGCCGGATGATGTCCACCACTGAGCCGATGGAAGGAGTTCGCGAGGTGAATGGAGCTGCTGTGGAGGCATCCCCCAGCTGCACCATCGGGGTATCCTCCATTGAGTCCAAGCCTTCCGCCCACTTCGCTGCACCGGCGGCAAAGGCATTGCCGTGTTTCTTTTGCTGCAACTCCTGTTCTTTCTTCATCTCTGTCTGAAGCCGGCCCATGACAGACTTCATAGCTGAAAATTGAGCCATGACACCCACATCCTCACCGGCCTGCCTCCTTTTTTCAAGCTCCTCTTGAATCCACTCCTGCTGCTTGGAAACCAAATCCTTCTTCTTCCGCTCAAGCTCCACCTTAGACTTTTGCATGATTTCCTGAGCTTTCTGCTGGTTCTCTTGCCGGATCGCTTCCAGCTGATCTTCCGCCTTGCCCCCCTGAGGCGAGCCGTTTTCATCCGACTTCGATGCATCAACATTGGCATTGCCAAAGCCACTCAACAAAGCGAGCCCAACATCTGCCTCTTTCAGAGCCCCCACATCATTGCCACCATCTCCACACATAAAAGAAAAGCTTTTCTCACTTTTGCGCACAGCCTGAATGACTTGCTCCTTCTGGAAGGGTGACATTCTGGCAAATATCTTCACAGAGCTCAGCTGGGACTGGAACTTTTCACCGAATCCCTGCCATGCCTTTTCCAGCGGGGCCCCGGTGATGATTAAGTCGCGGGACTGGCTAAGAGCTTTGACGCCCGTAGCATCAAAACTTACAGATTCGGCCTGTTTCCCATGCGACGTTATCGCTGCACGCCACTCTAGATCACCGTCGTCCTTCTCTGATAGAACCAAAGCCTGTTCTGGGCTGTACTGGGCGATGCCTACTTCCACGGCCACACTGAGAGCCGTCAGCGGTGCATCGCCTGTGAGCATGACGCAAGCATGGCTCGAATCCTGAAGGGATCGGATCACCAGCATGGAGTCCTTGCGTGTCTCGCATTTGAAAGCGATGAAGCCTCCGAAAGTCAGCTTGCATTCGATCTCGGATCGCGGCCGATTGGCCACATCTGCATCGCTTAATCTTGAGTATGCCAAGGCGAGCACTCGCTGACCTTGCTCAGCCATGCGCTTGTAAGCCGCATCGTACCAGCCCGGCTTCTCCACAAGGAGCTGGCCAATGGCTTCTGGGGAGCCCTTCACCAAACTGTACATCCCACTTTGGCACTTCCCATCCGCCGACGTGACTTTGCAAACCGTACTCATCCTTTGGAGGTCCGAGGAGAAGTGGAAGCGATGCTTGATAGCTACACTCAGCTTGCTCGCTTCTAGCCTGTCCTGCTTCAGGCTCCTTAGTTGGGTACACTGATCTATGCTCCATGGTCTCCGAGATTTCGAGCTATTTCATACTCCATAAACTCTACTCCACAGTTACAGAGGGCAAGGCTCTTCTCCAGCTCCGCTATCTTCTTGGCGAGTTCCTCCTTTTCCTTCTTGTCTGATTCAACTTCATCTTTCAGGTTGGCCATGAACTCCTTCTGTCGAAGGATCGTAATCTCTTTGGCCCTCCAATTGGAGGGCGAGGCAGTGCTAGTGCTGGGCTGATAGCTCCAACTAATACCTCTCAACGCAGCAACCTCGATGGGGTCACCCAAGAGCTTGTTGTCCACCTCGATCCTCGGCAAGCTACATAAGCGCCCCACCCAACAAGCTGTTGCAGACATAGCTACTGCATGAACACTGTTGTCAAGTGCTCGGACCTGCAACTCCACTTCCTCCACTGCATTCCACTGCTGTACAAAGTTCCAACTTTACGCCCCGATGCATACTTCTGCTAGGTGGCAGGGAATGGCAACCGGCTAGAACAACGCAGGCCATGGTGGAAGCCTCGTTGACGGCCGTCTCTTTGGGCTCCTTCCCAGTGCCGGCATTCACCATCCCAACGGCCACCATCTGGTCCGAGGTCAAGGTACCGGTCCTTCGGATCTGACAAAACAAGGACTAGTGACTAAGCCTACCTCTCGACTCGCCTTCCCGCGCTCTACCCCGACTCCCCAAAAACAGTGAGCACCAACATTGCAGCGCGAGTTTCTTATCAAAGAAGCAATGGGAGACACGTCCGGCAAAGGGCACCCGGAAGGGTTCAGTGCAGTAAATTCCAGCTTTGAGCAAGCTCATCAGAGCCGTGTTTACGGCAAACGCCATCTGCATTGGAAGCGATGGCGGCACTACCGACGTGATAATCTGAGTACATCGGATCAGCGTCTTATACGTCGGTCGTGTCGGGTCTTTCAGCGCCGCATTCATGACGTAGCCGGCCGCGGCCAAAGCAAAAACTAGAAGGAACATCAGCTGCAGAGTGGTCTCTACTGTGTCGGCACTGACATTCTCCGTTGAGAACTCGATCATGCGCATGAGCTCGCCCTGCGAGGAGTTGAAGCCAGTTCGGAGGACAAAGCAAAGGATGCCATCATCTGGCGGGCTGCTTGCATCCCCGTCGACTTTCTTCTTGCTTCTTTCAGGAGCCGTCGTCTGGATTAGAGACGTGCCGCTGAAAAGAGCATGTATCCTCGGGCTCCGGGATGTGATGACAAGGTCACAAGCAGCAGCTACTACTCTAGGATGCCAGGCTCTTTGACTAACTGAGTAGGACAGACCACCAACGGAGTCTCGGACCCCGCCTGTGCTTGCCAAAACAGTCCACGATCAAGTCGGAGTCCGTCCCGGCACCCATCGCATCCTTCATCTGTGGCACGGACTCACCTGACATCACAGGAAGAGACTGAAGGCAACAGCATGACGACCCGCTGCGGCCGCTGCCTGTAAGCGTGGCTTCGTTCACAATGGCGCTGCCACTCACGATGAGACAGTCGCAGGGCACCAAGGTCTCCTGCGAAGTGCTCAGACGGAGACATTTGAGAACAACTGACACAGACCTGCACAAAGCACTTAAGCAACAGCGGCGCAAGTTTGAGACCTTCTTCTCGTGGTTCTCGGTCCCAGGCTCTGCCTTCTTCTCTTCTGCCCTCTGCTGCAACACGTGAGTCAACTCTCGGAGGCAGCAACAGAGGCTCGAAGATGAGACCACGTGCTTTTAACAGCCAAGCTGCTTGGTATGCAGAGAGATCAAGTCCCCGGGCAGGAGTTCCTCTATGGGTTTGTTCTCCCACTTCCCGCATCGGAAGACGAAGACCTTAGCAATGCGAGGACAGCGTGGGAAAACAAAACCCTGTGAGTTGTGGATGACTAAGGGGCAGGCGTTGAAGCCTCGGAAAAGTAAAGGAATCCCGTGACACGCGCCCAGCCATGCACCAACATGTTGCAGCGAAAAGAGCTAAAAGTGCAGGCAGTGGGGCTCTTCGTGCTCATCCCACGAAGGGTTGACATGGACTTCAAGCGTTGGAAGACCGTGGAGGCTTCAAACATAAGGATGCTCCCCAATGTGAAACAGGTGTACTTCCTGAGCTTCACACTACAGAATGGGCCAAGAGTGCTACCGCAGCTGAGGCACCACATCGTGTCCATAACCCACAGGGCAGCTGAGAAAAGCTGAAAGATCACCAGCGGTGATATCAGCTGCTTCTGAAAAAGCCTCGGATAACAAACCGCGGAAGAAGCGCACGATCGTCGGGAAAGGGCAGCCCGGGCAAGGTTCCATGCAAGCCTTGGCACTGCATGAAGGTCGGCTTGGGGAGGTCGAAGATATTGGACCCATATTTGTCCTGGCAGAGAATCACGAGCCGACGACTACACCGTTTCAAGCTCAGTCTGGTCACAACCCAGACTCCAGCACACCCCCCCCCACCCCACAAGACGAGCGAGGCATCTGCCTGGGCCAGCCCAACCTTGCCGGAGGTGTCCAGTCCTGCAGAGAATGCGGGCCTCGCCCACAGGAAGCAAGACATGCGATGTCATCAAAACTGGTCCTTTGCAGTCTCGGTATGTTTTCCACGGTAAATTGGTTGGGCATTGAATCAACCGGACGCCTGGGATGGCGCATGACTGCGCATTTGTATCACGAAGTTCGACTAAACCCTGGCACGCCCCTCAACACAGCCATGCAGGCAAGTCACCCGGAAGATCTAGGTCCTTTCCAGAGATACACATGGAATGTCTGACACCACATGTGGGAGCTGCTTCAGCTACCAGGTTCCGAGGCGGGAGGCGAAGGACCTGAGAATGGGTGGCTGCAGTTTCAACTCACTCACACTTAAACAGACCACCCGGAACAAGACAAAACCCAATGAAAGCAGCCTCAGGAGTTCGATCAAGCCACAGCAACATCTTTGAAAGTAGGTGCTGGGCCAGTGTGGGCCCGTGCTACTCCGTTCGAACTGCACAAGCCATCCAAACCACATTCTCCACCAACCAAAGGAAACACGAGAACAGCAATCAGGCTGCAGTTCGGGAGCATGGCAACTACGAATGCAGATAAAGAGTCACCTTTAAAGGAGAGCATGAATCTTAAGACGCGGATTCATGCGGACGATCGACTCGCACTAGGAAAAGACAGCTCGCTGAGCTGCACGCACGCTGTTGACAGGCACAGGCCGGCTAAACACAACAGGTTCATGCAAAACCTGCATCCAAGCTGCTCCCAGAAGGTCTGGGTCTTCAGTTCCAGCCTCGACAAACTCAAAGTTCTGGTACCTGCTGCACTGGTCTCGAACACGCTGCTTGCAACTTGCAGCAGCCCAGTGGCAAGTACATGAGCAGCCTGGCTCTAGGTCCACTGGGCTACTAGATGTCCACTGCAAAGCTTCAGCCAAGATGCTGAAACTTGAAGTGGCAATTCAGCGTGACCTACAGACAACATGGTCTGTCAGCCCGTCACACTTCGCCGAGGTGAACGCGTAATGGGAGCCGGATATCTTCCGTGACAGCTGTTCACATACATGTACAAGAACGACTCCCTCCGACCCGCCGACTAGATAGGATGTGACTTCATGCATTGTCATGTGGTAGAACGTCCCTCCATGCGTTCTTTGCTGTGATTGATACGATCACCGAGTAGAACCCAGGCACAGAGAAGATGGTGGTGGCTTGATGCATTCATCATCATGTTAGGAAGTATCTGGACGTACAGTTCGTACAGCTTCACCCCCTCTTTCCACAAATCGCACGACGCCTTTACTTTTCCGAATGCACGCACACGGGTGTGTGTGTGTGAGAGAGAGAGAGGAGAGAGAGCCTTTTCTCCGGACTGCATCGAAAACGTTGAAGCTTGAGTTTCGGCTAAGGACAAGCTAGTGCCAACGGCTAAGCACGAGGAGCTGTCGACTCGTGGCGCAGCTTGCGCAGCGTCTTGGCTAGAGTTTGTGGAGGATTGATTGATGGCTGTTCGAGGCCTTAACTAAACTTTGCAGGCTGCTCTTTTCTTCGGCGCTCGCTCTGGCCTCTGACTCGTGGACTTCGCAAATGTCTGCCTTCCCCTTGTTGGCGTGCGGCGTAACACGCACAAAACCTCAGCTGCATGAGCCGACCACACCAGAGAGCAACGACTCAGTAACTCGGCACTGCTTCATGCCAGCCGCTAGCCTTTGAAACTTTTCACTTGTCAACTGAGCCGCTGCCGCTTTGGACTCGTTTGGACGGCTGGAAGAGGAAGAGGGCTCGAAAAGAGATGGACCAAACGCACATCAGGTGAAAGAGCACGTGCACCTGGAGACCAAGAACAGTGCAGCATGAGGCGTCGCAAGACCAGACATGGAAGCATTGTAGCAAGTTTCCAGTCGATACTTTGCTGTCAAAGCTTGCTGCGATCTCTGCATAAGCTGGCCGAGCCACCACTATGTTCCTCGGCAGGAAATCGACTGACATTGAATATAGAATAGGAACATTCTCCACGTGCTTTCTCTAGCTGTCGCTGTCGGACCATCAAGGTGTGGCCGCTATGCTATCATTAGCAGGTGCAATATCTTGCGGCTAGGCAGCAGGAAAATGAAAACGCATGCAACGGCACTGGGCATCATCTGAGAGGGCAGGGATTCCTGCCGAAGCCGTGTTCGCAACCGCTTCGCTACCTCACCTCGAAACGTCACCTTTTGCATGGACTGCTGACAGGCTCCTCGTCGATCCCGAGCTCGGTCTCCTGCACGGCAAGGATTTGGACATTGGAGATGCCACTGTCTCCGGCTTCAGAACTGAAATTCGTTTCTCCTTCTGATCTTGCTGTCCACTTGTGAAGGAAACCCCCTTCTCCTCAGATGGAAAACGGCTAGACTAGCAGCGGGTCTCAGCTTCCAAGCCAACGCCGAGCCTTGGCAGCTTCAGCCTTCTCTTTGATTAGCCGCTTCTGCTCTTCCAAGGCCCACTGGTACGGCTGGCCGACCTTGCGCGACATCGAGGAACCCGAGCACTGATTTTCCGGCGCCAGCGTTCGAACATCGACTCACGAGATCTCTAGACTGTGACTCTGGGGTCCTGTTGACTTTCGCAAATGCAGCAAAAGTTGCTATTCGCGTGGCTACCAACGATCTCTCGCCGCATGTTGCGAGCTTGGCTTCTTTTATTGCCGGCTGGCCACTGTGTCCTGCCACAGTTTTAGTGAACAGGCGTAGTATGCCACGAAGAACGCGGCCACCTTGGTCTGCCGAAGTGGGGAGAATCAAAGCTTCACTCACTCAATGCTATCAGGCCGATCCCTCATGCAGCGTTCCATGCCCAGGCACGATGTACCTCTTCCATGGAGCTCTGACGAGGAGTCTCACATGAGCTACGCTTCTCGGATGGCGCAGGCGCATCCTGCCTCCGACTGCATGGGGCAACGATGATTCCGACAACGATTTTTGGATAGTCGCCAGGGATGAAAACGGATGAAAACACAAAACTAGTCTTGCATGGAACAGTGTTGAAAACCGAAGCTGTGATGACATAGACATGTGCACGATGATTCAAGAAAGACCTAGCAAAGCATTAAGGAACCTTGTGTTCGATATGCAATGTAAATCTACAGTTGTATGCGCAAAACACAGGACTCCTCTATGCCCTATGTACCAGTATTGAATGGTCACATCGTAAATTGTGAAGCTGATTCATATCATGAAGTGAGAATACGATAAGACGAGGCAAAAGCTGGATAGCAAGAGGAGCAGAATACAAGAGAGGAGGATTTGTTCCACCCGCTCAGCTGACTGAGGATAGAGGTCAAGGCATGACGGCGCAGGATCAAGGCTGGATGGTGCTGTGCCCACATGACAAGAACAGGACGTGATGGAACTATGTCAACCCGGAAGCATCGCAAGTCAAAGACGCACTGCCGTAGTCTGCTGACTGCGACGTAAAGCGGCGGCCTAGGGCAGGACCTCCAAGCCCAGCGATTCGGGCGCCCTGGTGGCGCCCTGGCGCTCAAAGCGCTCAAAGCTTTCGGGCCAAAAGAGGGCGCGGCGCGTCAGAAACTCTGCTTCTGAAATACTTAAAGCGGCTCGGCCCAAAGCAAAAGCCATCTGTGCACGTCAGGACTGCACAATGTCATCAGCGGACATGCTCTGTGGCCGGAACATCTGATTCCGGACCCGGCTTTGCAAACCTGCCAGGCGCCACACCCTCCGCTGAAGAAGCCATGATGATCGACATGCAACGGATTGGAAACTCCCCTCCCAGAGCGCGCCGGGCATCCCAGGCTTGGCGCCTGACACAACGTCACAGGGACGGGACAACTCCGGAACTTCTCCTCCTTGCCTGCTGAAAGCGGAGCCGAAATGCTCCGAAGCCGAGGCGGCTCCAGGCGAAGCGGGCGCTGTCGCGGGCCGATCCTGCAAAACGTGACACGAAGAAGCTTCAACAGGGTAGCCTGCAATTATTGCTCTAGTTGAGTGTTTTGTTGGGGGGGCAGCCACCGCTGCATGGCAGATGCATTTGACTCGACCCCGAACGTCTCTCCGTCTCGCACCCGCTCGGTGAAAGAAAACGAAGAACTCACTGATCGTGGAAAACTGCCCTTTCGTGCATCTACAGCGAAAGACAATCGCGGAACTTGTGTTTTTGTGTGCTCCACAAAGCATGTCGTGGGACTTTCACAATGTGCCTGCATGACATGGCAGGGTTTCAAGCAGACAAAGATGTTCAGAAACTTTTTGTCCTGATGGGATCCGCATATTACTCTCTCTCTCTCTCTCTCTCTCTGCAGGAGGTGGGGGCCCCAGGTGCGCGTGCGCGCACCCGCTTGTCCTGGGGTGTCTAACCTTATTGTTATCTCTCTCTCTCTCTCTCCCTCCCGGGCATGGGGACGTCTCACCGTCCCCGGGCCTGTCGGCCCACCCGGTCATATTGATCAGGCAATGGGGAGTGACGAACGAACATTGAACATCCAAAGCGCTAAAGCTAAGTTATAATGGATACAAAGAAGAGGATGTTCGAATATTCTCTCAGACACATGCAAACATGGTTGGCTTCCCCTGCTCATCTTCAAAGAATAACGAAATAAAGCTCCCCCGGGAAGTAACGCATGTTCCCCCTGATTCATTCTTCAGGGACAGCTTCACGAATTGGGTTTGCGAGTCGACTGTTTGTGGCTAAAGTTTTGTCACCTGTACCTCGAGAGGGTAATCAACTTTGGGCTTAACAACAAAGTGACCACAACAACTAAAGCAGGCATCCCCGTCTCGAATATCGACTTCAATGCAAGTCACAAAGTCAAGTCATCGTGGAGTTGTATTATCTCTCTATCTCTCTCTGCCGTTGCATCCAGCGGGTCTAACAGCGCTAGGCAACGCGTGAGGCTCAGCCCTTCAGGCCCTTCGCGAAAAGAAACAGCAAGCCGCCCCGCAAGCAGCGGGCAACGCCGACATATGCCAAGCACACACCTTTGGTTTCACCTTCGCGGCCCGCTCACCACACTCAGACAAGTTCGACACCCGACGAGCATACCAAAATGGTACGACGGACAGACCCTGTTTTTGGAGTGGTATGGAAGCGCATCGCGCCGGGTCCGTCGCCATCGCCAGACCTAGTTTGTATGGCGCCAGGAACGCTTTCTGCATCCCGGCCTGTCGCCCGCCAGCGAGCGACGACCCACGAGTCTCTGAATAAATGATTGGGTGGAGAGGGTGGGAGCTGAAAACCGTCGGGCGACGCAAGGCCTGCAGCAGCTGCGGCACATGCGTCGTTCGACGAACTTGTCCTTTCACACATTTCATGTGTTGTGTTACACGACACCCGACGAGCATACGAAAATGGTACGATGGACAGACCCTCTTTTTGGAGAGTGGTATGGAAGTGCCGGGTCGGGCCGGGTCCGTCGCCACCGCCAGAGCGGCGCCGGGACGCTTTCTGCATCCCGCCTGGCGCTCCCCAACCCACTCCGCGGGGTCAACCCCCTCACACCGCCAGGTTCCCGAGCTCGTCCGCAGCGGCGTTCACGGCGAACTCGAGGTCTTGGACCGCCTTCGCCAGTGTACGCAGGATGCGCACCGGCGTCTTGACCCTGCTCCAACCCATGCGCCGCCCCAGCTCCAGATCACCTCTGGAAACGGCGTCGGAAACGCTGGCTTTGGACGGTGCCCGACGGAAGTCAGGCCCAGTCGGCCAGCCTTGCTGCTGTCGAGCAGAAAGCCGCCAGGACGCCGTTGACCGCTGGATCTTTCCAGTAGCCCTTGGTCAGGGCCTGGGTTCACCGTAGAATGCTTAACATCGAAGCCAGATGAAGGACACGGCTAAGGTGGGGCAGGGTTGGGACACTGACACGGCTTGGATGACTATTAGAGCAGGTACCTGGTTAGCAAAGGTGAGGATGCGGCTTGGCTTTAGGCAGGCACACAGCCAGCAAAAGACACGGCTTGGGCTGGGGCTTGCAAAATTGAGAACGGTTTGGCTTTGGGTAGGGAGCAAGCACAAATAATAAGAAAGTTGCTTAAAGTTACGTTCTTAGCTTATAAGTGCTCGGATATTTGGGTCCACCAAGGTCCTCCCTCCTGATACCTGCAGGGCATGTTCAGGGGCCCGAAAACCTGGCAAGCCTCCCAAGAAATTTGGGTGGGGTAAACCACTCGATTCTGGACACTTGGGTGGGTTTGCATAGGAAAACCCACACAGAGCCGGACCCGGTGGACTTTCGGAAGTCTCAAACGGTGTCCTCACGGAAAAAACTTCGGAAGTCCTCGGAACTCGTCGGAAGTTCTCGGAAGTCCCAAACCATGTCCTCACAGGGAAGTCCTCGCAAGTCCTCGAACTCCTCGCAAGTCCCAAACCGAGTCCTCTCGGGCAAGTCGTCGGAAGTCCTTAGACATTGTCGGAAGTCCTGGAAAGTCCCAAGGCGTGTCCTGTCGGGGAAGTCCTCGGACCTCCTCGGAACTCTGCCCCCGAGAGGACACGGCTCGGGACTGCCGAGTACTTCCGAGGAGTTCCGAAGAGTTCAGAGGACTTCCGAGGACTTTCCCGAGAGGACACGTCTTGGGACTGGCCGAGAGTTCCGAAAAGTTCCGCAGACTTCTGAGGGCTTTCCTGAGAGGACACGGCTTGGGACCGTCGAGGAGCTCCGGTTTGGGACTTTCCAGGACTCCAAACTCCCCGAAAGGACACGGTTTGGGACTTCCGAGGACTTTCGAGGACTTCTTTGTGAGGAGGCCCTTCCGGAAGTCTGCGGGAGTCCGCGCGAGAATAAGTTAATCAGTTATACGTTAATTATAAAGTTACAAAATTATAAATTTAGAAATATATAAACTTAAAAACGCTTGAACCCGGCACGAAATGCCGGAACATGGCACAGCAATGTCGCCGCACTGATCGCCCTGTCAGACCGTGACACAGTGTGACTGATGTTGATACCAAGCCGGATCCACAAATTAGGCCTTTAAAGATTGAGCCGTATCGAATAATGAGACATTATGGACCGAGCCGGACCCCTGATTGAAGTCTTTGTTAGACTAGACCGTACAGTATCGTTTCTGTAGTGGGCCGGCTCCGACATTCAAGCCTTTACATACCGTGCCGTGTCGCCTTTTGAAGTTGTTGATGACTGAACCACATCCATGTTTGGTACGGGAACTGGCTGCCCTCATCTCAGTCAATGATAAGCATTCCACGGGGTTCTCAAGTCAGGGCCCACTGGCCAGCGACGTGAGTTCCAGCCACCGCTGTGAGAGTCGACGGGCCAACGACGGCTGGGCACCGGTCGCCGGCTGCGACGACTGGCCAGCCACATCCGCCTGCAGCGACGCTCCTCCGGCGCTCGCCTCACTGAGGTAACCATGCCGGCGCCCCGGCATCTGGGCCGCCGGCAGAATCTGACCACGACCACGGGCGACGTAGAAGTCCGTCGCGTCGACATGGGCGAACCCGTGGTCAGGGGCTTCGTGGGCGTTGGCGAAGCCGACGACGGCACTCTCCATGCCGACGACCAAGGCCCGACGCTGAAGCCGAAGTGGATCGCCACATCGACGCCATTGTTGAGGACGTCCTCCAACACGGCGAGAGAGAGGCGTTGACGGCCGACATAGCGCCGGCGAGGGGAGTGCTAATCTGAAGCTGAAACCAGTCGGGCGACGCAAGGCCTGCAGCAGCTGCGGCACACGCGTCGTTCGACAAACGTGTCCCTTTACACATTTCATGTGTTACACAGCCAAAACTCCGAAATCTGATACTCAATTTATCTCCGTGGTCTGCTTCTCGTTTCTCGTCTGCTTTTCTTGCATGAGAGGCACAGGGGGCTTTGCTCGAGGACTCTTCCGTGCCTCTGACCAGTCGGCTCGAGGTGGCGCGGAGCATGCTCGCGTCCTTGGTATGGCTCTGCACCACCACTTCTTGG